CCGTTGGGCTGGAGCGACTCTGATGTCCACACCGTCGTCAACTGTCAAGGTTTTAGTCGGTGGCGTAGTCATCCTTGATCTTCCCATGCCTCTTCATTGATGTCCGTTGGGTCGGGATCGCAGGTAGGGGCACTTCTTCCTCGATGGCCAGCCGGCGCCGAGTTTCTCCCTTCCCGTCCCGAGAAGGAGAGGGCACCCACGAGCAACGTGGCCCCGGGAAGTTTGCAGGCACGACTGCGAAGCAGTTGGTGGCGTGGAGGCGCGTCAGGCGCTGTTGCAGAACACCATGCCCATCTCCTCGGCCGCGGCGTTGCGGGTCGCAGTCGTGAAGTATTGCGATACCACGTGACACTGTAGCGGCGCGGCTCGTCCTCAGCAAATAATGTTCAGATCGCCTGCGTTCACGAAAGCACCTCCCTGGGGGCCCCTCCTACGCGGCGCCCTCATGATGCACCTCCTGCGGCGTGGTCTCGCGGTTACCTTCCGGTGGCCCGCGTCACGCAGGCGAGCGTGCCGATGTTGGTGTCGGGGGCCAAGGCAAACGTGGAAATATTATTCAGTTATAAAATTTGTTCCGCCATTTGGCGTGACAGCGCTTGCTTCTTGTTCTAATTGAGACCGTGCGCCTGCGTCCGAGCGCGTGCAGTCCGTTCGATGTCGTTGTGCAGACGAGCGCCTTGCCACCCGAAGCTGCTCGACCTTCGATCTTGGCGCAGACGTTTTTGTTCCCCGACCCTCCTATGTTGAATTCTCGTTTTGACTGGAGCACTCTGCTCTCCAACCTCCTTCCTACCCTCCCCCCTGCCTCCCACTTCCTGCCTCCCCTCCCCTCTTCCTCTTCCTTCACCCTTCTTGCCTTCGTCCTGCTTGCGCCGCCTGGCCAACCTGTCACCAGTTCCGTGGGCTCCTGGGAGATCCAGCGGAGTGGAGTGGTACGCAGACCCGGTTGGGACCTCGCGGCGCCCTTGGGGTGCTGCGAAGTGCACAATCTTCGCAATTTTCGTGGACTCCTGGGAGGTCCAGCGGAGTGGAGTGGTACGCAGACCCCGTTGGAACCTCGCGGCGCCTCTGGGCGGCTGCGAAGAGCGCAATTGTCGCCATTTTCGTGGGCTCCTAGGAAGCCCAGCGACGTGCAGTGGTACGCTGCGAACTGCGCAATTGTCGCCACTTTCGGGGGCTCCTGGGAGGTCCAGTGGGGAGTGCAGTGGTACGCAGACCCCATTGGGACCTCTCGGTTCCTCTGGGGGGCTGCGAAGTGCGCAATTGTCGCCACTTTCGTGGTCTCCTAGGAGGCCCAGCGAAGTGCAGTGGTAACACACCCAGCCGAGACCTCGCGGCTCCCTGGGAGGCTGCGAACTACGCAATTGTCGCCGCGTTGTGGGCTCCTGGGAGATCCAGTGGGGTGAAGTGGTACGCAGATCCGGTTGGGACCTCTCGGCTCCCTTGGGGGTCTGCGAGCTGCGCAAGTGTCGGCACCTCCGTGGGCTCCTGGGAGGTCCAGCCGAGCGGTGTGGTACGCAGACCCCGTTGGGACCTCGTGGCTCCCCTGGGTGGCTGCGAAGTACGCAACTGCCGCCAGTTCGTAGGCCCAGCGGAGTGGAGTGGTACGCAGACCCCGCTGGGACATCGCGGCTCCCCTGGGGGGCTGCGATGTGCGCAATTGTCGTCATGCTAGTGGGTTCGTGGGAGGTCCAGCGGAGCGGAGTAGTACGCAGACCCCGCTTGGATATCGCGGCTCCCCCCTTGTGGTGTTGCGACATGCTCAATTGTCGCAATCTTCGTGGGCTCCTAGGCGGTCCAGTGGAGTGGAGTGGTACGCAGACCCCGTTTGGACATCTTGGCTCCCCTGGGGTGCTGCGAATTGCGCAATTGTCGCCACTTTCGGGGGCTCCTGGGAGGCCCAGCGAAGTGCAGTGGTAACACACCCAGCCGAGACCTCGCGGCTCCCTGCTGCAAACTGCGCAATTGTCGCCACGTTGTGGGCTCCTGACAGGCCCAGCGGAATGGAACGGTAAACATTCCCAGCCGAGTCTTCACGGCGCCTTTGAGAGGTTGCGAACTACGCAATTGTCGCCACGTTCGTGGGTGGCTCCTGGGAGGTCCAGCGGAGTGCAGTGGTAAACGCACCCACCCGAGACTTCGCGGCTCCCACGGGAGTTGCGAATTGCGCAAGTGTCGCCATTTAAGTCGGTTCTTGGGAGGCCCAGCGGAGTTGAGTGGTAAACACATATAAACACCCAGCCGAGACCTCGCGGTTCCCTGGGCCTGGGGGGCTGCGACCTGCGCAATTGTCGTTATTTTTGCGTGGCCTTCAAGATGTTCTTTTGTTTTGATCGGTCCTGTGTGTTGTCGCCACATGTGTAGAAAGGGTTGGGTACGTCGCAGGGTAATGTTTCACGACAGCGCAATCCGGCTTGTCAAGGGCCGTTCGCAGCTGAACCAGATTGAAGTTGGAAGAGGAGGGGGAGGTCAGGTCTCCGCAGTGGAGAGCCACAGCGAGTGCAGGTTGCAGAGTGGCCTGGTTACCGACGACGCAAGCGGTGAACATGTTTCATGCATAGCAAGATGTTATAAAACAGACGCTGTGGCGCCTGCACGTCGGACCCTTCATTTAGTTGTGTATATGCAGATCGACGGTCCGATCTGCACGTCAGACGGTGCAGCAAATCACCACGACATTTTGCCCTTTTGCTGCTCCAGCTGTAATTCATTGCAGTCCAGGCTGTATGCTTGTACCTTCCAATTGTAACGCTGGCTAAATTGTCGTAGTGGCGCTCCATGCTCACTACAGTACCGGATCGCAGGAACGCAAGACGCTTGTATCGAAGGAAAAAAGACGCTACCGAGAAGGCCTTCGGGCCCTCCCCCAAAACAGGTACCTACGATTCCTGACCGTGCACCCAATCAGTCCGCCAAGAAGCCTTCGAAGCACGGTTTGCCCACCCAAGAGGCCCAGAGAGGCTCCAACATGCCCCAGGAGGCTTTTGATTTTTCGGTTTGAGGTACAGCCCGAATAGCTCCAGAGGAGGAGGAGGAGGAGGAGGCGGAAGAGGAGGATGAGGAGAAGGAGGAGGAGGAGGAGGGAAATGATGACGAAGATGCTAATGACATTGATGATGCTGCTGCTGATGCTGATGATGATGCTGATGCTGATGATGGTGGTGATGGTGGTGATAGTGGTGGTGGTGATGGTGATGGTGATAGTTTTGTTGATGATGATGATGATGATGATGACGATGTTGATGGTGATGATGACGATGATGATGATGATGATGATGATGATGATGATGCTGATCATGACGATGATGATGACGATGATGATGATGATGATGATGATCATGATGATGATGATGATGATGAGGATGAGGATGATGATGATGATGATTATGATGATGATCATGATGACGATGATGCTGATGATGATGCTGATTATGGCCGTGATGGTGATAGTGATGTTTCTGATGGCGAGGAGGAGGAGGAGGCTAAGAATGAGGATGAGGACGTGGGTGTTGCTGCTGCTGATGATGATAAAGTTCTTAGCCGTGTAGCGCACGGCGGGACGCCAAGCTTCCAAATAATAAAGTTCTTAGCCGTGTAGCGCACGGCGGGACGCCAAGCTTCCAAAGAACAAGCTGGTCGGAGTTGTATCTGGTCGGAGTTGTCGGGCTGGTCTGGTTTGAGCCTGGTGCTGAAGCTTTAGCTAAAGCTTTAGCTTAGGATTCAAGCGAGAGTGGTTTAGGGGAGGTCCCGGAATGCATTTTCAACGACGACGACCGAATTGCAGTTTTTTTTGCATTGCAGTTTTTTTTGCATCTGGTCTGGCTGGTCTGGTTGGAGCCTTGTGCTGAAGCTTTAGCTTAGGATTCGGGCGAGAGTGGTTTAGGGGAGGTCCAGGGATGCATCTTCAACGACGACGACCGAAAAGCAGTTTTTTTTGCATTGCAGTTTTTTTTGCATTGCAGTTTTTTTTGCATCTGGTCTGGCTGGTCTGGTTGGAGCCTTGTGCTGAAGCTTTAGCTTAGGATTCGGGCGAGAGTGGTTTAGGGGAGGTCCAGGGATGCATCTTCAACGACGACGACCGAAAAGCAGTTTTTTTTGCATTGCAGTTTTTTTTGCATTGCAGTTTTTTTTGCATCTGGTCTGGCTGGTCTGGTTGGTCTGGTCTGAGCCTGGTGCTGAGGCTTTAGCTTAGGATTCAGGCGAGAGTGGTTTAGGGGAGGTCCAGGGAGGCAGCGCCAACGACTCCGACCGAAAAGCAGTTTTTTTTGCATTGCAGTTTTTTTTGCATTGCAGTTTTTTTTGCATCTGGTCTGGCTGGTCTGGTTGGTCTGCTCTGAGCCTGGTGCTGAGGCTTTAGCTGGCGTTGGCATGGCGTTGGGTAGAAGGAGGGGGAGGAGGAAGAGCATCACCATCTCTGACGATTCCAGACTGGCGCCGTCTGGGGGGGTACGTGGTCACGCATGGACCCCCAGCGCGGCGCTGCTCGGCGATGGAGCTTACTTAGCTGTACTCCACAACGGCCCAGGTCGAGAAAAAATGCGGCCGCTCCTCGATCCTGGTCTTGTTACCCTGGTCGTGTTAGTCTGGTCTGGTCTGGCTGGTCTCGCGTCGACTGGTTGGTCGAGTAGTTCACCTCGTTGGTCTGGTTCGTCTGGTGTGGTACGTCCGATTGGTTCGGTTTGTCTGGTTCGGGTTGCTTTATCGGTCTGGTTCGCCAGGCTGGTCTAATTGGTCTGGCTGGTCTGGTCGGTCTGGTTGGTCTAGCTGGTCTGCTTGGTCTGGCTGTTTTTTTGCTCGTTGGTCTCGTTGGTCTAGCTGGTTTCGTCTGGTTGGTCTCATTGATTGGTCTGGCTGGTTGATTGGTCTGGCTGGTCTGGCTGGTCTGGTCTGCTCTGGATGGACTGGTTGGTCTGGCTGGTCTGGTCTGGTTTGGTCTGCCTGACCGGATCGACTGGTCAAGCTGGTCTGCTTGGTCTGGCTGGTATGTTTTTTCTCGTTGG